AAAGCATATTTTAAAAACATAGTGCTCATTATAAATACTATGAGGAATTGAGAAGAAGTTCCATAAATTTATGAACATCTTCAAAAAATCTTCAGATATCATACTCAATGGTAAAAGGCTCAATGTTTTCTATGTACAAACAGGAACAAGGCAAGAATATCCTCTCTTACCACTTTTATTCAACATTGTACAAGAAGTCCTACCATTGAAATAAGATAAGAAAAAAAAATAAAAGGCATGAAGACTGAAAGGGGACATAAAACTATCTTTATTTGCAGATGACATGATCACATAGATAATCATAAAGAATTTGCAAAAATATTTATTAGAACTAATAAATAAATTTAGTAAAGTTATAGGACATAAAGATAAAAATCAATTCTGGATTGATAGGGTAGCAGAGAATAATCAGAAAATTTAAAATAGCATCAATAATATGTAGGGATACATTTAGTGAACAATTTGTAATAACTATACACAGAAAACAACAAAATAATGCAAAGAAAATGAAATGTTCATGAACTGGAAGACTCAATTTTGTTAAGTTGGCTCAAAGTAATGTACAGATTGAGGCAATCTCAATTAAAATTCTAGCAGGTTTTGAAAAACCTGACAAGTTAGTACTAAAATCAATATGGCAAGGCAAAAGAACTTGAACTGCCAAAACTTTTTTGAAAAAGAGCAAGATTGGAAGATTTATATTACCTGATTTCAAGACAATATAGTATTAGCAAAAGGACAGACATAAAGATCAATGGTACAGAATAGAGCGCAGTAATAAACCCTAGCATTTCGTGGTCAATCGATTTTGAACAAAGGTATCATGGTAATTTAAAAGAGGAAGGACAATCTTTTCCACAAAGGAAGCTAGAACAACTGGACAGCTGTATGGGAGAAAATCCTTGACCCTTAACTCAAAAATTAACCTGTAATGGATCACAGATCTAAACATAATAGCTAAACCATTAAACTTGTGGAAGAAATTATGAAGAAAGTCTTTGTAACTTACGGTTAGAAAGGTTTCTTAAACACAGAAACCTCAAGCCATAAAGAAAAAAGTGAAAAAGAAGGCCATAAAACTAAAATCTTTGGTGTTTGAAAAACAGTGAAGAAGACAAATCACAGACTGGGAGAAATATTTGTAAAACATATATGTGGAAAAGAGATTATATACAGAATATAAAGCACTCTTACAATTTCACAGTAACACATACAAAAGAGCCAACAACCCAATTTAAAAATGGAAAAAAGATAGGAACAAACTTTTCATAAAAGAAGATATATAAATGGAAAAAGTATATGTAAGATGCTTAACAACAATTAATCATTAGGGAAATACAAATTATAACCACAAGGGATAGCATTGGTCACCCAGTAGAATGGCTAAAGTTAAGAAGACAAATAAGATGAAATGATAGTGAGGATGTGAAGCAACTAAAACTCTTATAAATTGTTAATGGAAATAAAAATGATATAGATATATATAAAATAGTATAGAGGTATCTTACAACATTAGACATACATTTACCGTATGACCCAGTATCCAGCTTGGGTATTTATCCAAAAGAAATGAAAATTTAGGTACATACAAAGACTTATCTACCAATGCTCATAACAACATTATTCATGATAACTAAAAACTGGACACGTAATTCAAAAGATCAGCAACTGGTGAATATATAAACTATGGTAAAGTTACCATAAGAAATACTATGCAGCAATAAAAAACCCCAAAATAAAACATATTTGAATCTCAAAAACATATGCTAAGCAAACAAACACAAAAGACTACTTGTTATATGATTCTATTTATATAAAAATCTAAGAGAGATAAATCATAGTGACAGAAATTAGACCAGTGATTAGCTGGGCCAGGAGTTGGAGAAGGGGATCAAAGGGCACCAGAAAACTATCTAGAGTGAAGGAAGTTAAGTGTTCTCTATCTTGAATGTGGCAGCAGTTACACAGCTGTAGCATAGTTGATAAATTCATCAAATTGCACACTCAAATAAAATAGAAAAAGAGAAAAGGTATTTGCAACTTTGATCAGAGACAAGGGCTCACTTTCCTGAACTATAAAAAGCTCTTAGAAATCAATGAGAAAAAAGAGGACCACAACTCAACAGAAAAACAAGCAAAGGAAATGAATAGTTCATTTACCAAAAAAAAAGAACAATTCCTGTGTAAATTTAAACAACTCTTGACCTCACTGATATGAGAAATGTAAATGTTAAATTATTCTGAGAAACCATTTTTCACACATAGGATTGTCAGAAATTCAAAAGTTCAGTAATATTGACGATTATATGGAAACAACCTCATAGATTCCTGGTGGACAAGTAAATGGCAGTGACCTTACAGAAGAAAATTGGGCAATATTTGTAAAATTACAAATGCATTAACCTTCCACCCAACAGCAATTCCACTTCTAAAAATTTTCCTCATACACTTACATATATATAAAATGACATATATTACAAGGTTTATCTGTATAGAAATTCTTTTAAAAGGAAAAGACTGTAAACAACTCAAATGACTATCAACAGTAGATAGAATGGTTAAATAAATTATGATACATTCAAAAAATAAAATATTATGTATCTATAAAAAATAAGAGTTCTCTATATAATGATTTGAAAATAGTTATAAAAAACATTGTTAAATGAAAACAGCAAGGAGAAGAGCAGTGAGTGTGGTATGCCACATTCTGTGTAAATAAGAGGGGATAAGAATTTACGTATTGTTTGTATATACATAAAGAAACTTTGGAAAGATATGCAAAACTAGTAAGAATGACTACTTGCTAAGATGAAGAAGACAGAGAATGAAGCATAAACATTTTAAGTTTTTTAAATTTTTGAACAATGTAAATATATTATCTTTTCAAAAAACCTAGGTGAATTAATCAAAATCAAGTTTGATATGAAAATAACTAAGGAAACAGACACACCAAAGTGATATGAAAAGACAGGTCACAAACTCTAAGATGATATTTACAATTCAAAAAGCTAAAGGACTGGTGTCCAAATATATAAAGGCTCCTACAAATTAGTAAAAGAAAGACAATCCAACGGTAAAGGAGAAATGAACAAAAGAGATGAATATATATTTCACTGATGATGACACAACTAACAGTCAATAAACATGAAACAATGCTAAACTTAATAATTCAGGGAGTAAAAAGTAAAATACCCATGCAGTATATAATCCCAACTAGATTTGGCAAAAACTTAAGTCTAACCATATAAGCTGTTAGCAAGAAGCTAAATCCAAGTCAGCAAGATATAGCCTGTGAGACAGCCTCCTGTTTTTGTAAATAAAGTTTTACTGAAATACAGTCATGAATATGGTCTATGGCTGCTTCCTAGTTACAAAGGTAGTTGCACTAGAGACATTTATTAAATACTATCTGGCACTTTAAGAAAAAGTTTGCTAATTCCTTATAGAGATTGATGGGAATGCTTGAACATTGTTGGTAGGATATAAAGGAGTACCGTCACTTTGTAAAATAGTTTGACATTATCTACTAAAGCTAAATATATAATGGATATACACAACAATCTTTACAGCAGAACTAATTTTTATTAGCAAAAAATAGAGAAAATAACAAATACCCATTGACAAGAGAATCCATAAACAAACTGAAGTCTATTCAAACAACATAGCAGTGCCTGGTAGTAAAAATGAAGGAACTATGGCTATATGTATCAATATAAGCTCTCATAAATGCAATACTGAGAAATAATAAAGTTATAGAAAATAAAAACAGTATGATTCCACATATAAAGTTCAGAAATATGCAGAAACATGTATTATTTTCAGAATACACAGCTATGCATAGTAACACTATGAAGAAAAGGAATCAATTGGTAAACACAAAATTCAAGATTGTTAAGTATTTTCTACTGGTAGGAAGGAGGATAGATTTATAAAGAGAATCAAAAAGTGCAGCAAAGATATTGGCACTGATGTACTCCTTAAGCTAGATGATGGTGTTTGTTACTGCTCTATTCTCTATGACTCAATATATACAAATATTCTTTTCTATGTATCTGATATTTAATAATTTTCAAAACTCTGCTAAAAGAAGTCAATAATGAAGAGACTAAATGCTACAAAACTGTTAGTTCTCCCCATTTAATTTATAAATAAGATCCTAATGAAAGAAAGAACATTAAAAGTAGAGAAAATTAACTGACCTACGCCATCTAGCCCCTCATCAGTATTGTGTGACTTAAAGCAAGATGGATAATAAATAAAAGATAGTTTTGAAAAATATTATGTAAACATAAAAAATCTTTTAAAGAATTCTTTAAGAGTTAAGATGAGAAGCCACTGGAAATAAACTTGACTATAATCCCTTACCAAACTCATTTTCCAAAATAAGATAAAAGAAAAAAGTATGAAAAAAAATTATGAAACTATAATTAAAATCCCTATTAGAAATATATAAATCCAATTCCATTCTCATTATACATATCATTTAAAAAAATCTGCAAAATGTATTTATTTATTTTTATTCCCTATGCTCCTGAGTTTAAAGCATATACAAAAATAAATACTTTCCCCTCCAATAAAGAATGGAAGATAAAATAAAGAGGAAATTGAGAAATTAAAAAATAATAAAGCTATAATGAAGGCTAATACATAAAAGCAAAGCCATGATGAGCTCTTACACACTTTTTTTACTGGCTAAGGAAACATAATTAGTTAAGAGATAGTTATGTTAAGAAACTATCTACTCAAGGATTATTAGCAGCTTTTCTTGATACTGATTCCAGAAAGAAGCATTTCCTATGAGTCTTATAAAGGGGACCTAAAAATCAACCATTAAGCCACTAAAATATCCATAAGGTTAATAAAAATTAATGGTTTATTAGGGTACCAGGAATTGGGGGAAATATATAAAAATAATTTGCAATAAAATTATTAAATAAAGTGATTAGAGATGTCACTTAATATTCAACATAATACTTAACATACCTTAATACTTTACTAACCTTCCTGAATTGCCATGTCCACAGTTATTCCAGAAGCTGAATGCAAAAGTTTCTGGTAATTCTGTGCATTTTGGTCAAATAGCTGTACAAGAAGAGTACATGTCTTTTCATATTCACATCTGCTGACGGTGCACAACTGCTCCAGCTGCTGAAACACAGTAGCAGTATCATCCAGGGGATCATCTAAATGATCTCTGCAAACAAATAAGAACAAGTTTGCAGATAACATTAGAATGTGATGTACTTTTATTCACCACATATAAACTTTACGTTAAATAAAAATTCTATAATGGATAAAGAAATAAAAGAGAAATGGGTTAGATGATACAAAATAAAACTGTCTATATTTGAAGATATGATTAATATATAGAAAATACCAAATAAACCACAAAAAAGGTACCAGAACTACTACATGAGTTTACTAAGGTCACAGCATACAAGGTCAATCTACAAAAATCAACTATTCATATATACTGACAGTGAATAATTGCAAATTTAAATTTTAAAAAACAGTATCTTACAAAGGCACCAGAAAACATAAAATACTAATTAAATCTAACTAAACATATGCAAGATCTAAAGGCTAAAAACTACAAAACACTGATGAACAAAATCACAGAAGAGCTAAATAAGTTAAATGATAGACATGCTCATTGATTGAGAGATTTGATATTGTTGAGATGTCTATTCTTCTCCCAAATTAACCTATAGATTCAATTCAATCCCAGTCAAAATCCCAGCAGGATTTATTTGTAGGAACTGAGAAACTGATGCAAAAATTCACATGGAAAAGCAAAGAATGTAGAGTTGCAAAACATTTTGAAAAGGGAAAAGCAAGTTGGAGAACTCACTCTATCTCGTTTCAAAGCTTCTTAAAAAGCTACAGTAATCAAAACAGGTTACTGGCAGAAGGATAGACACATAGAAAATGAGAACACAGTCCAGAAATAGAACCACATGTATGAGGTCAATTAATTTTTGACAACAGTGTAAAGGCAATTCACTGGAAAAAGATAGTCTTTTCCACAAATGGTGCTGGAATAATTGGTCATCCATATGCAAAAAAAAAAAAAAAGATTTGATCTCTTCTTCAAATAGTATACAAAAATTGGCTTGAAATAGATCACAGACCTAAATGTAAACCCTAAAACTAGAAAACTTCTAGAAGAGAAAATAAAATTGTTTTGACCTTGGATTAAATATTCCTTAGGTACAATACCAAAAACATGATAAATAAAAGAAAATGAAGAATAAATTAGACTTCATCAAAATTGAAAACTTCTGCTCTTCTAAAGGCTCTGTTAAGGAAGTGAAAAGGCAAATGACAGAGAAAATATATTCACAACAAATGTATGATAAAAAGACTTGTGAACAGAATATACACAATGTTCAAATCTCAATTTAACAACCGAATAAAAAAATGAGCAAGATTTAACAGACACTTGGCAGAAGAATCCATACAGATGGTAAATAAGTACATGAAAAGATGGTCAATATTAACAGTCATTAAGGGAAAACCACAATGAGGTACCACTATACATCTATTAAAATGACTAAAATTGTTTAAAACTGACAATATCAAGTGCTGGTGAGAATGCAGAACAATTGACTCTTTCATACATTGCCAGTGGGAATGCAAAACGGTTATAGGCACTTTGGAAAACAGTTTGGCAGCTTCTTATAAAGCAAAACACATACTTACCACGCAACCCAAGAATCTCAAACCTAGGTATTTACCATAGAGAAACAAAAACTTATGTTCATGCATAAATCTGTGCAGGAATGTTTACGGTGGTTTTATTCATAATTGAAAAAACCAGAAACAACCCAAAAGTCCAGCAACAAGTGAATGGGTAAGCAAACTGTAATATTTCCACCAAATGGACTACTCAGTAATAAAAAGGAAAGAACTACTGACACAATATGGAGGAATCTCAAATGCATTATGCTAGATGCATTATGCTACGCAGCATATGATTTCATTTATACAACATTCTGGAAAAAGCAAAAATTACAGGGAAACAAAAATAGATCAGTAATTGCCAGGGATGAGGGGAGGAGAGGAATGACTACAAAAGGACCCAACAGAACTTTCTGGGGTTGATGGTAGCTATACAATGTACAGACTTACCATATCTCATCAAAATCGTACACTAAAAAGGGTGAATTTCAAATTTATACATCAATCTTAAAAAATTTCAAGAAACAAAAGATGAAAATACAACAGAAACATTTTATTTTTCAATACCTCACAACTATGGCAACAGATTCCAACCGAGAAGTGATAAAGGCCTTCGTGATTTCTGGTGCGTAAGTGTCTAATAGGTGGGGCTCAGTTGATTTCACAAAAGGAACTGATGCTACCATCCTTTGCCACAGAGTTAATAAATAATGAACACTGTTGGGAGCAAATTCCCAATGCTGCAAAGAAATAAAGCAAAAGTTATTTAAAATGACATTATATCTTCCTAGAATAAGAATTATATAGCAAAATTACTAAACATACATTTTAAAATTAACTTTTATTCTGATTATATAACTAATAAACATTTCATATGGCAAATTTGATAAATGCAAAAAAGTATAAAGAAATCAACATCTGTCATTACTCCACCACTAGGAGATGATCATGATTAAAATGTTATGGTATTTTCTAATTGTTCCATGAATATTTTTCAGAGTTGATATCATGTAGAAAATACAAGTTTTATATCCTCTCCCCCAAACCTATAAAAAGTATTTTTTCATAATACAATCTGTAAAAATATTCTTTTATTTCTTCACACAGATTTTACTATAGCTTCTCAAGCTACTCTTCAATTATAGATACCTCAATTTTTATTATTATAAATGTTACAATGAACTTTTTCACCTAAACCTTTACAGTGACTATTTTCAGAAAAGTACTCAAATTAACAGACATTTAAAAATACCTCCAACCCTTACCAAGAAATTGTTTTAAAACTGTCTACAGTTTAATATCAACGATGTATTTTTCCTTACCTGTAGGCTAGTAATGGTAAAATTAGCAATCAATCTGATAACTTCAGGATACTCCTTCACCATAACTAATTCTCCCAGCTGATAATTTGTCTTTAAACGAGCCAAAAATCGACAAAATTCATGATAATTACCTGGATCAGACAAACCCTAAATTATAAGACAACAAGAAAGGCTTTTAAAAGTACTTAAAAACAAACCAACCTATTGATAATAAAATTCCTAACCATTTTATTAAGTTTTCCAGTTTTTATTGGTACTGACAGTACAGTACTCTGTGTCAACTAGGTAGTTAACAATGTAAGAAAACAAGTGATTTCTGCTAGACTTAATGTCATCAATGATAATAATAATGATTCCAAAGTCAAAGCTTTGGAAAAAGCTTTGCACCACAATGACTACATTTTGTTTGGGAATCTATCATATTACACACAAAAAAATGTGTATATGTGTGTGTGTGTGTGTGTGTGTGTGTGTGTGTGTGTGTGTGTGTGTGTGTGTGTGTGTGTGTGTAATGTGGCTTAAACACAAGTCAACAAAGAACTTGAAAAATTTTTAAGATGAAAATAAGAATGGGAACTTGAAACACTGGAAAAGAGCAATACCAATTTGACTTAAATAGTATATGTGTATGCACACGGATAACAGAAATTTCTTTTAATTCAGCAAACACTTATTGAGTACCTACAGGCATTGTCCCCTCAAACAATGCCCTGTCTCTAAAGAGTCATTCAAATTACTGCAATGTAGGGAACAAAGTCTAACAAAATACCTATGAAAGACAGAGGTAAATTTAGGGGAAGGAGAGATTAAAAGAAAGAACAAGTATCCCTAGTTGTCTGTGAGCTCCTCAAAGACAGGGCACATGTGTTATTATCTCCATAGTTTGAGTGAACAGTATGCACTATAGCTGACATGAAACAATTTTAAAAGTATCTATTTAACACAAAGTTTCTAAGAAATTTCATTCATAGGAATTCCATAAAAGAATACAAATAGTGTCTAATTATTAAAGATAAATTACAAAAAGACATTTTGTAACCATAGGTTTTTTCATACATGTTTATGATTCTAAAATAACATAATATTCATACTAACTTTTATAGCCATAAAATATCAACATGAGGATGTTGGAAAATCATTTAAGAGAATTATCAGGCTTTAGTATACTGGTTGATGATGGTAAGTTATACAACTCAAAATTTAAAAGCATATTGGTAAAATCCTATTCATCAGTAAAACAGGTAAATTTCACAGCTATACTAACAAAATGATAAAACAAATGCATTACCCATGAAATGTTCCTAAGAATAACCTGCAAAAACAAGTGGTTTTTGTAGAACAAGCACTTTATTTTTGTACAAAGATATGTCCCCCCAAAAGTTACTAATAATCAAGAGACTTAGATAAACCTCCTTGAATCATCATTTAACCTTTTAAAATCTATACTTTAATTACAGATTTTTTAAAGAGACAGAGTCTTGCTCTGTCACCCAGGCTACAGTTCAGTGGCACAATCATAGCTCACTACAATTTCAAACTCCTCAACTCAAGCTATCTTCCTGCCTCAGCCTTCCAAGTAGCTAGGACTGTCCAGCTAATTTGTAAAATTTTTTGTAAAAAAATTTATGTTTCCTGGGCTTGTCTTGAACTCCTGGCCTCAAGTGATCCTCCAACCTCAGTCTCTCAACATGCTAAGATTAGAGAGGTGAGCCACTGCACCCAGCTTAATTACAAACATTTTGAAAACAAAAACAAAATAAAAAGTGAAACAAAGTATTTTATCTAGGCACCCAAAATCACTCATTAATAATGACTTTGCAATTCTCTGAAATGGATATTGCACTAAAGCTCTGAAGTTAATGTACAGTAGAGTTTAAAATCTACAGACTCTTACTTGCCTACAAGAGGGCAAGAAGACATTATTTCATAATTTAAAGCCACTTATTCCAATATTAACATTCACATTTATATTAAGTCTTCTAGTTCAGAAGGTAGATATAACACTAAACTAATCACTTCAGTAGTTTAAGAAGTGCATGCAAAGAAATGTAGTACGATGGTAAAAGACAGAAGCGTAAGACAGATAACCTCTATTTATATTAGTCTAAAAGATAAAAAATAAGAGTAAAATACAGAAATCTGAAATGGAAACACATAATTTTAAAAACTGCTCATTTCTCACTACAAATGAAATCTAAGGAAGATTAATATGAATCTAAATATTTTCTTTCATAATCATAATAAATTCATGATGAGTTTATTATGTGCCTTTGAGCAGAGAAACTGTATTTCTATATGCTAAGTATTAATTAAATTACTTCATAAATACCTGAGGGTTTTCAAGTATTCTTTTTACTCCCTTAATTAAATTACCAAGGTACTTGGCACGTTCAGGACTGCTAAATAAGGACCTTCTTGTAGAAGCAAATTGAACTAAACATGAAAGCGCCTAAAACAACAACAAAAAATTCATTTCAATTTTAAAAGTAATTATGGCCACATGTGAAAAACTACCAGTCTTTACATTTAAAATGTATTTAATTTTAATGATAAAAAAGCACTACAGAACATAAAAATAATGAAAGCCAAACATCATCAACCACTACCATCACCCATAATCCTTCTACCCCACCATTAAAATTCCTATTTATGTGTATTCTCTGCTAATATTTTTCCATATATGAAATCTGCTGGAGCAATGCCTAGATGTGCATTAGTTCAAAAGGTTCACAATTGCTTATGATGCCCAGCCCTGTTTGAGAACCAATGAACCAGGTGGTCTACCAAAAAGAAAATAATGGTTTTGTGGTATCACTGGGAGAATACTGCACATTATGCACTGTGGTATCCTGCAAGAGGAAAAAAAAAATCCTGTAACCTAATCCAGCATGTCTCAAACTTATTTGGTCATGGAATGTTTTATACTGTCCATCAGTATGTTAAGGATCAGTTTGGAAAATGCTGCTGGGAAAGTTAGTACTTTATAAAAATTCCTAAAGAGTACCCGTGGCCTAATTACCTTCCTAAAATTTTCGGAAAATTTCACTACTTGGGTTCTTAATTCTATTGCTGGTACTCACTGAGGTCTGTCTGATCATTAAGTGAAAGGCCTCAGTTGGCAACTTTCAGGCCAAACTGGCCCACATACATCTGCTGGTCCCCATATTTGCTTGTGTACTTTTTAGATTAAAATTAGCTGTCAATATTTAAATATTTCAATTAGAAGATTTCACACAAAATGTCTGGTTCTCTTGGCAAAGGTGAGAATAGGAACAAAAAACCAGATGCTCTTTTTAGATGTGCTCTAGTTTGCCACAGCCTCTACTGTTAAAAATGAAAGAAAAAAAAATCCAAAATACCCCCAAACCTCCTTAGGCAACTCAGATGTGCAGATTTGGGAACCACTAATGTATTAAAAACACCTAGGGTTTGGGAGCCAAAAAGATCTGGTTTTGAATCTCAGCACCAATATTTTCTTTGTTGTACTAGGGGAAGTCACTTAGCCAATCTGCGTCTGTTTTCTGTTTTTCTGGGTCTATATAGTGAAGACAGTAATATTTACCTGGCAGGGCCACTTTGAGGACTGAGATAAGCGTCATATAATAAATTGGACAGGCTCAAGAAACGTTAGTTACTATCTCCCAAAGCAGTTGTTTTCTACTTTATTTTTTAAATACCGTGCCTTTTTTGTCTCATCCCAAAACATAATTATGTGAAACTGTGATTTGTAAACAATTAAAAGCAAAACTGTTCTGGTTTAGAGAGAAGGCTATGGCACCACCTGGAAACATGAATGCCCTGTGAAACACAGTTTAAAAACCACCACATTGAACCCTAGATCAAGAGCAGACATGTTTTTCAAAAAAAAAGGATATATTTGTGAATCTGTTCCTCTCTTATAGAGGATAATATTTCAACAAATATACTACTGACATGTACTTTAAATCTGAAGCATCTTTTTTTTCTTCTGTGAAATAGCAGTATTAGAACTTTCCAACTTTATTTCTATAATCTTAGATATTATACTTACAATTTTTTAACCGTGCCAGACCTGTTTTAGACTCAACAAAGATGAAGCCCATAGTCTCAAAGTTCTATATAATCATAGTTATATAATAATTTTTTGAGCATGCAATAGAATTTGTACTGATTCAAAAAAATAAATGAACAATTGGAGTGATGAGCACAAAATTAAGTAAGTAGATCTCCTTTCATTTCTTATTCAGAGAGATCTGATATGGGCTGCCTGTCACACTTAAGACAAAGAGCCAGGCAGGACTGAGGAAAAGTCAGAATGGAGTAAGAGAAAGGAAAGTCCAGGTGGGGTGGTCAACTGCTGGGCTTAGGCCCTATGTGAACTGAGTAGGAAGATGTATTTAGAGGCTGATAGGTTGTCCTGGCTCTGGGTAAGAGCTAAATCAACAGTATTGTTTCTGGGCTCACCTGTGAAACAGAATATGCTGATAACAAAATAAATAAAAATCTAACAAATAGCTTAAGTAATATACATCCCAGAAAATGTAAGAACTTACTGTGGGAGGTAAACACAATCAAATATATAAATAGAATTTCTGAAGTAAATATATACCATCCCTTGCTTTAATTAGTTCAAGATCACAGGTACTTTTTAATGAGGTAATGAATTACTTTTACTTACTAACTGAGATAGTAGTGGTGGAAGTGAATGATACAAATCGAAGAAAAGATCCAATGTTTCTGGTTCCAGGAAAACTGAAAAAAAAATTATTTTCTAACACCATTACTTTCAATTCAGTGATTTTAACAAAGTAAGACATCTTGGAAAAACAATTATTTTCCACACTATTACTTTCAATTCAGTGATCTTAACAAAGTAAGACGTTATCATATTAACTGAAAACTCCAAGACCTCTGCATGTGGCCACTCTTTCCAGTTAGGCCTATTTTCAGTTCCTAGCTATTTCCCTTTGAAAGATGAAATACAATAATACAGAGATAGAAATTAGCTATCTAAGCTGTTCTTCATTTCTTATGTAGCATCCTATAGTTCTAACTTTTTCACTGGTATTAAAGTAATATAAATACAAACACTGCTAAAAAATTCAAATGGTATCAAAAAGTAAACAGTACTAAAAAGCTATACCCTGCCCCATTCCAACTGCTTTTCAATTCTTTTAGCTATATTTTCATACATGTTCCAAATAATATATACTACTATTTATTCATTTGATTGTTTTACTTTGGATATCAACTGTATCCTATTATAGTATGTGAGGCTTTATCTGTCTAACCACTCATCCCACATCTCTACCACCCTCACCACTCTCTCCACAATCCATCCTCTCAAAATTCCATCCACTATTATCACAATTTGTGATTAAATCAATTCTATGTGTTTACCTTTATTATGACTGCATAAATAATATTAACAGCAGAGCCAAGACGTATACTGTGATTATATCTTCTAATACTATACTTCTAATACTATACTTCTATACTTCTAATACTCCCTGGACTTAATCATAGCATCTTTTCTGTGCTTAGATGTACACACATCTGTCACTAATTTTTTTCAAATACTCTGACAGATTTTTCACGACATTTTCCACAGGACCCATAGCATCAAATAACCTATCATCATCATTCTCTCACCTCTACCACCCAGAGCCTTCAATTTGAACTAGTTGTTCCCTAACTTTGTTATACAACTCTTTTTATGTCTGTTCACTGTTATTTTGTGTTACCCTTTTCCCAAATTCCATATCTTCCACTTTCTTGGCTTGAACATCAAGTAGCTTCCAAAAAGCCAAGTACATAAATTTTGGGAGATTTGAATGTCAAAAAATGTCTTTATTCTATCTTACACATGACAATTTCAGTCTAATTTGAAAATAATTTTCCCTTAAAGTCTGAAGATTTTACTTCAGTGTTTTCTACCTTCTAGTACTACTGTTGAGAAGTCTAATACCATTCTTGATCCTAATCCTTTGTAGGTGCACTTATTTTTTTCTTGCTGAGGGTAGATTTTATATCTTTTTTCTTTAACCCCACTCTTCTTAACTCTCATGATTATAAAGCTTAGTGTATATCTTTTTTCATTCATTATGATGGGTATTTGGTCTTTCAATCCAGAAATGTATGCCCTCCAGTGCTGAAAACTTTTTTGGGTATTATTCATTTGCAACTTTTGTTCTGTTTTCTCTGTCCTCTCTTACTACAACTCCTAATAGTCAGATTCCAGACCTCCTAGTTTCACCTTCTAATTTCCTTATTTTTTTCCTCTCCTATTAAACATTTCCTTGCTTTTTTGTTCTACTTTCTAGGAGATTTCATTAACTTTATCTTCCTACTTTTCTACTGAATGTTTTATTTTGTCAACTGTCTTTTAAATTTGGAACATTCTCTGAACTTTCCTTTTGAAAACAATATCCTGTTCTTATTTCAAGAATGATTACCTTTTCTTCTCTCTGGAGATACTAATTATATCATTCTGAAGTCTACTTCTCTTCATCTTGTCTCTGTGTCTATTAACTCCTCCTCCTTTTTTTTAATTAAACATTTTGAGATAATTGTGGATTCATATGCAGTTGCAAGAAATAATACAGAGAGACCCCGTATTTCCTTTACCCAGTTTCCCGCAATGGTAATTTCTTACAAAACTAGTACAGTATCACAACTAGGAAACTCACATAGATACAAGCCACAAATCTTATTCAAATTTCCCAGTTTTACATATACTCATATGTGTGCATGTTATATGTGTTTCAATTTTTTATTACGTGTTGGTTCATGTACCTATCACCACAGTCAAGATACAGAACACTTAGTCCTTTTTTGTTGTTTCCATCTCTGATTTCCATATTAGACATTTTCACAAAATTTATGGTGCTCCTCTACTCTACCCGATATCCCTGAATCTGAAGCCTCTCTAGTTTAACATCTTGAGAAAAAAATATCTGGTTTTAGGACGCGAGGGGATAGTGTAGATATGGAAGAGAGGAGAAAAGGCAGTCACCTAGCTGCACAAGTGGTAGAGAAGATCCTGGAAGTTTAACTGCTCAAAATACAGACTTTTCACCAAGCCCTTTCAGGCCCATTTCCCACTTCTGACTTCAGGGATACCCTAGTACCATCATTTTTCTGGGATGTGAAGGAACAAATCAGCTTGCTTTTTCTTGGTATCACTCTCTGGAAGAAAAGCTGCAACTCTTTTTTGCTAAGACACTTACTCTTCTAATTCATTCTCTTTATAACTCTGAAAAATATGTTGACATTTCTTGCCAACTAATGAATTTTCTCCCACTCTGAAAGTTTATCTGAAAGTTTCAAATCAGAGCTCTCATTTTTCCCTTGTAAACCTGCTTTCCACTAGAGCTGTCTTTTTTTTCTCTCCAAAATCAAAACAAGGATGTTAGTATAATATGAATTGGGGAAAATATTTCAATACTGAGTATCAATAGCTACTCTGGGTTACAAATCCTTTTGAGCTCCTTTTTGACTGGCTAACAAAGAAAGAGAGATAACTATATATATGACAACTATATCACTTAATTCTGTGCCGTTTATATTGACCATCTCTCATACTAAACATTTTTCTTACTTGTTCTCCAAGTTGTTGGAATCTGCACTGTACAAAGATCATCTGCAGATTCATCTGCTGAACTGCCAATGAAGTCAAAGTTAAGGCAGTTAAGGACCAATTTTAAGACTTGCATTACCAGATTTTGTTGATATTGATCTTGAAGATTTAAAGGTTTGGCCAACACCTGAAAAAAGTTCAAAATCAAATAAAACACTATAAAATACATCAATAAATTTTCACTTTATGAATGAAAATAATTCCTCAATACAAAATGAAAATCAGTAAAAAAGAGTTTACAGAGTTATATTGTTCCATATATTATAAAAAGTGGCAAAATCACTCTCCACAAATTTCTACAACAGACTATTTTCAAATTTAATTTTGTAAAATGGGAATAAAAACTTTTATACTTAATTGCATATTGTAGGTCACCTTCTAAAGTTATGAGATAAAGTTCAGACAAATACATGATACAACTATATAAATGGATAGGATTCATTCGTTCAAAAGCTGTTTGCAACAAGTAGAAAATATAATTTTCTTCAGGAAAAACTGGGTTAACTTCGTGCAAAATAGAACCACAAAAAAGATCATACTTTTTAGAGATACATGATAAAACATTTGAAGAGGAAATGATATGAAGCTTGAGATTCTGCTTTAAAAATAATACAAAAAGCATAAAGTGGGTAGGCAGGGATAGAGAAAACAAGATTGGCTGTGAGTTGTTAACTGGTCGATAGGTTCAAAGGGGTCCATAATAGTATTTTACCTACTTTTGTTTATGTTGAAATTTTTGACATTAAAAGAAAATTTTTAAATTACAGAGGGTCTTTTGGTCTGATCTCATGTGGCAGTTATCATTTTACTATACCACAGAAATAAGTGGAAACTAGTGCTTATTAGAACATACTTTCAGAAATGGTATACTACACCAATTAACAAGCTTATGCTGCATAATGGAGTCCCTATTTACACAAGAAAACACAGTATAATTATTAATCATGCTATCACTAATGTTCAATAAAGCACTAAGTAGCAAACGGGGAAATACTACATCCCAAATAAATTATTAAACTCAACTATCTTGGCTAAACTATAAATAAATTCTGATAGTTGATAAATCAGGAAAACTTACTGTCATTTCATTTTTTTCATCTATATCTCATCAAAATATTGGCAGATAAAGAAACTACATAATTAGCTTCTGTAATAAAGAATCTACAGTAGAAAAACAATAAAACTACTACCTAAAGACAAGTTACTAAATTCCTTTTAAATTTTACATTATCACATACCCATTGAGTAAAAGTAAATTTTTTGGAACTTCCACAGATTCGTAATAATTTACTCTATAGGTGGTCCCCAGGTTACAGACAAGACACATTCCTGAGAACATCTTTAGCTTGGATACATATGTAACTCAGATCCCTGATAAACAGCGCATTTATGGCAATAATAATAATAATAATATAATGGCTCATTATGTGACAATAATAATACAATGTAATACTGTAATAATAATACCCCTGTACTGCAATAATAAGTTACAGAAACTATTGTGTTCTTTCTTTTAATTCAAACAAACAGAACATAAAAACAAAAAGCTGAGCTAGGAGAAATTTCAAAACAGAACATTAAACGTTAATGCTCACCTAATGTTGCATCAACTCTAGGCTAATAGGAATGTTACACTTATTTTAAACTAACCAAACCAATAATAACCTTTCCATTTCAGTAATTAATCCATTACACTGCTTAGTAATAACTGATGCTTTCATTGGGGCACTGCCTTTCACATGTTCCATTATTCTCACTTTACCATCTATAATTGTTCCAAGAGTCAAGTGACTAAAGTCTTTTTTTTTTTTTTTTTTTTTTTTGAGACAGAGTCTCGCTTTGTTGTCCAGGCTAGAGTGAGTGCCGTGGCGTCAGCCTAGCTCACAGCAACCTCAAACTCCTGGGCTTGAGTGATCCTTCTGCCTCAGCCTCCCGAGTAGCTGGGACTACAGGCATGCGCCACCATGCCCGGCTAATTTTTTATATATATATCAGTTGGCCAATTAATTTCTTTCTATTTATAGTAGAGATGGGGTCTCGCTCTTGCTCAGGCTGGTTTTGAACTCCTGACCTTGAGCAATCCGCCCGCCTCGGCCTCCCAAGAGCTAGGATTACAGGCGTGAGCCACAGCGCCCGGCCGTGACTAAAGTCTTTTGCTTTCCCAATGAATAATGGTGTCTGGCCTTTCTTTGAACACATAATTATTTCTACTTTCATTTCGTTTGTAATCACCTTTCTCTTCACTGCAGTTTCACCTGAACTTGCACTGGACTTTCACTTTGAAGTCACAGTCACAAGGGTAAACACAGATTCACAAAATCAAATAAAAAAGTTAAGATGAAAGTGATGCTGTGCGTTAGGGACCATATAAGCAATGAGACTAGCTGCTAGCATAAAGATGCTGTGTCAATGAACCACTTACACCATATGGGTTTGTTTACATGTGTGGAAGAAACTAGTTCCCAAATTATTAATTTAATTATAAAGTATTCTTATGAGGAGCCTTGGGAGCCCATTGGTATCTACAGACGCCATAAGTCAGGTCATCATATATAACCCAGGTACTGCCTGTACTTAAATTAAGTCTGTCCACAATAATTCTTCAAAAGGCAGAATGAGGGGGAAAATCAACTTGGAATTCTTTTAAAACTCTTGAAACTTCCAAATACTCTAAACTAGGAAATTGAGTTGTTAAATAACTTACCTCTTTTAAAAGAGAGCATGCTAGCACTAAAATATCTTTGAGAGAAGTGTCACGAAATGAGGTAGCTATTTTTCTGTGTTTTGCTGAAGGTCTAGAATAATCAACCTAAAAGATCAAGATGAAATTAGTTTAACCAGACCTACCAAAAGGCAAAGCAAAAATTTACTAAGTAATAAAAAGAATGGAAGTAATAATTAAAGAATCATTAAGTACAGAGCTAAAGAGCTTTTAAAAATCTAGCAGGATAAGTGACTTGCCTAAGGTTATGCAAAGAGTAAATGGCAGAGCGAGGGTTAGAATCCAAGTTTCTGGGTTGTTTCAGTTTAGTGCTCATCTTACAAACCATATTGATTCTAAAATAGTTAATCACACTTTCAAAGGCAGTATAAGCAACAGAGATTATAAACTAATAAATAGATACCAAGACTATCAATTCCTGAACTATGCACCATGCTTCACAATATGCAACAAACAACTTCCCTGTTCCTCAGATTCTACCCATAAAATGAGAAATCTCTAAGATAATCTTCAAATTCTTTGTGTGAATCAGCAAACTGTTTAGTTACAAAAGAATTCTTCTACAAGAAAGTGATAGTTCTATATATACCACATGTCATTGGTTCATATATCCTTGATATTCTAAAAGAAACCAAGGTAGAAATTATAAATAATCATAAATCTGATTTATTATATAGGCAATAGTACATTCCCTCTGAATGTTTTATTAGCTAATGACAAATAATTTTTAAGAATAATTAGCTAAGACTAGTTCATGAGTATCTAACCTAAAATATGTTTGGAACTATACTATTAATACCATTAATATTTTCATTTATCAATAGGAAATAAGCAAACAAAGCTGAAGCCTGATACCCAAACAATCATTAACACTATGGTCTACACTTACCATAGTATTACTATTTATTCCTACTGCTGTTTGGAAGAAGAAAATAAGTCATTTTTCTTGCTAATGTTTGTAGATTTAAAAAAAAATCAGTGGGCTCAAAATGATATGACACTTCCTAAGCTCCAATACACAATTTAGAACAGGCATCCTCAAACTACGGCCCGTGGGCCACATGCGGGTGTTTTTGCCCGTTTGTTTTTTTACTTCAAAATAAGATATGTGCAGTGTGCATAGGAATGTGTTCATAGTTTTTTTTAAACTATAGTCCGGCCCTCCAATGGTCTGAGGGACAGTGAACTGGCACCCTGTTTAAAAAGTTTGAGGACCCCTGATTTAGACTATACCTAAATGTCACATTTACTTATAAAACATGAAACACATGTACAAACTGATTACAGAAAGTAGTTACCAGAATCTATATCCAATATGTAAGATTTGAATGAACATTATCAGTGTTACTCCCTTAATTTAAATTTCAAAGTCTGTCTTTCCTATATTTTCCTCAATAAATAAAAAAATTTTCTCCTCAATACAAATTAATAAGAGCATGTAGCATTACGAGAGCAATTTATAGAGTACTCTTCACATTATTTCACTTAGTCCTCAAAACTAATCTGTGAGATATATATTATCCTTTTTAAAAAACACATGAGAAAATTAGAGTTTACAGGCGCTCTATCTTAGACTATCTGTTCATTACCACCATACCCATAACATAGAAAGAAGGAACTTAGGTTTATTGAGTCCCTTCTACATACTAAGCACTGCTAACAGTTTTCTAATCTTAATAAGATCCATGTAAGCAGATGTCATTCTCATTTTATAGATTATGATATACAAGTTTTAAAGAAGTTAAGAAGCTTATTCAAAGTAGTTGGTGATAGAGCTAAAATACAAATCCGTGTGTTATTCCAGAATTATCTTTAAGGCCTGCATGCTTATTTTATTCAAGTTACTCATTTAAATATCCAATGTTTTGAGAAAAGGGATTACACATCCCCTTTCTATTGTATATCTATGTCTCTACCATGTAGACAGAGGGTATTTTGCTTCTTAATGACTATATATTGAACATACTCCAGAAACAGTAGATTTGGCTTCTACAAGAAGCAGGATAATTTATATAAACCTATTAACTTTTAGGAAAACTCAGATTTAGATCTTTTTCTTAGACGATACATCCTGTTACAGTGACACTAAGTGAATTTACTCAACTCATATCTGACAACTATAATATTTAATTTTCCTCATGCGATATAGATCCCCCTACTGTTTGGTTCAGAAATGCTTAATAAATGCTAGTTGAAACTGGAAATGCCATAAAATTAGGCTGGGTAATAAAATGTCTACACAGAAGCCATACATTTTTCACCACATAAAGCCAAAATCATACTTCAGAACTTAGAGTTTTCTTAAAAAGTACTTGAGTCTATGAAAGATAAGCCTGTGCCAGAAGATAAGAAAGTATTCAAAGAATCGTGAGGAAATGTTAAATAGACACAAAAGCCTGCCTGAAAAGACTCTTACTGGCCAAATCTCAGAAAATTTGAGCATCAAAATAAATAATGTCAGTAATGAATTATAACCTATTAAATTAAAAAACACAGAGAACCAGGAACCCATACTAATATAAAAAAACAAATCAGGCCGGGCACAAGTGGCTCATGCCTGTAATCCTAGCACCCTGGGATGCCAAGGCAGGAGAATCACTTGAGCCCAGGAGTATGAGGATGCAGTGAGCCAGGAAGATGCCACTGTACTCTAACCAGGGATGGCAGAGCAAGACACTGTCTCAAAAAAAAAAAAAAAATCATTAAGTTGAAAGTGATAAGGAACAAGGTATTTCTGGAGTCTTAAAGTACCTTTCCACAAAATATTAATTACAAAGGGAAAAAGAATAAGTCTACAATGGGGGTAGAGACCATCTTAATTAAGAGATCAAAGTGAACATCATCAGTATTGTGACAAATCATGTGCTTTCTGACAGGAGGCAAAGAGACGGCCACAGTATTATTTCTGATATATTCCTGACAAATATGCATAATCTGTATCTAATAATGAGGAAATCACAAATTGTGGGATATTTTACAAAACAACTGGCCTGTAATTTTAACAAGTGTCAAAGTCATAAAAGTGAATAAAAGACTGAGGAACTTTTCCAGGTTGAAGGAGACTAATAAAAATAAGAGGACTAAATGTCATGCACAATTCTAAACTGGCTCTTTTGCCATAAAGGACGTTCTGGAGACAAGTGGTGAAATTAGAACGGGCTATGAGGATTAGAGAATAGTAACATGTCAGTGTGAATTTTCTGATTTTAATGGTTGTACTGTGATTATGTGGAAGGTTCTTGTATGTAGAAAATACACTACTATATTCCCTGATGGTGGAGAATCATGTTGGCAACTTAGTATCATCAAATAGTTGAGAAAGAACTTCTTTGTACTGTACTTGCAACTTTTCTGAAATTTTGTTTATTAAAAATAAAAGATACTTGATTGCTCTGTAATAAAAGTGAATTCCACTTTTATTAGAACTTCACATTACCTAGTTTTATTTCATTAACAATCTAAACGCAGCAAACCCTCACTCCAGGGCAGCCTATTTCCCTTTTATGCTGTGAAATAGGAAATGAATCAAATTGCTCATTTTAACATTAGCAAACAGTTGTAAAAGCTTGATGATGGATACATGGGGTTATTATATTGTTCTCTTCACTTTCTATGAGGTAAAATTTTTATACTAATATTATTTTAAAATATATATGTATTTAAAAAGCTACAGTTCTTTAGATATGTTTACAGAGTTTAACAGCATTAGCCAAGGTCATGTCAGAACATCCCTGCCAACACAGTACGATTAATAGTCCTGGAGATACATACATATGTATGTAAGTACACACATACATACAGCCAAGAAATCTTCACATACTCTGGGGCAGAGGAGCCAAGAAGGTGATGGCCATGATAAATTAACAGATCACTTTAAACTTTAGAAATCCTTCCTATAAATCTAGAAATATTTTCTAATTGAATACAAGTAGAACTTTGTGTTTTTTTTGTTGTTTTTTTTTAATGCACACGGCTGTACTATTAACTCCAAAGGGAGCTAGCAAGTGGTCTTGGGTATGCAAGCTCTCCCTACGTACACACGCAAACACTACTCAAAATGATAATAGTTTTTAAATTTAAACACTACATTCTCTTTTATTATTATTCCATATAGAACCCAACTTCTGCTTTTGTTCTTTTTAGAACCATGCTAAGTGCAAAAGTGAACGGGAGCGGGTGATAATAAGCTCAGCTGCTGAGCTCATAAAAGCACTGTCAGGGAGAGGTATAGCTTCTGAAAATTCTCCTTGTATAGGGGAAAATCCAAGCTAGAAAGTGGCAAAGTGTCAAGAGACCAGTTTTTTGATGAGTCCTGCTGTGTATCCATTGTTGAGAATCAGTTCACCAAACCACTTGTCTTTTATTTGAAAGCAAATAAAGGTTTCTCTTTTGCATATAATTTATTATTTATGGTTAGTATATTACTATATATAGGGGATAAAAGGACAATCCTTGCCCATGGAACAAGAACCATGTCTAATTCCCTCTTCTTTGTAGTACTTTCTACTATTGTTGATATTTTCAATAACAATGAAAGCATCCTACTACTTAATTACTCCACCAATAACACACAAAAAACATGATTATTCAGTTTTATGCCACACAAAGAAGACTATACATTTTGCCACAAATAATACCAACAAAGAAAAAGCATTACTTAAGAAAACTTCATGTCCCCTCTGGATGGAAAGGCTTGCTTACCAGGTTCATTTCCTGAGTCAATTCAGAAAGGATTATTACTCCTGTTATGCAGTGTTCCACAGTACCCTTTAGAGAAAATAACCAAGTTTAGCCCATGTGGAGACAAGAGACAGGTTCTTAATGTGTAAACCAGGTAATATTTGCAAAGATTTAAATACTAAAATATCACATTTACTTAAGAATATAACTTTTAAAATATAAGTAAAAATCACTATGAGTTCTACAAATAGAATTTCAAGCTCATTTTTTGAAGGATTAATTTGGGTACAGAGATTGAGTGGGAAAAAAGCTCACCAAATAAAGAAATAATGAACCATCCATCTATTAATCAAAACTGTTAATTTTTCCTTAGGAACTGCAACAGATCACTGTTTCTTCAACCGGACACCAGCTAAAGTAGTTTCCTTGCAATTAGGGATTATGTTTATGTGGAAAAAAATATATACCTTTAAAAATCTGAATCATACTAAGCAAAGCATAATGGTCACCCTAAGTCAGAGGCATATAGGAATCAAGTACAGATTTAGGTTTCCCAAAATCATCCATCCCAGGACAAAGGAATCATTGGCACAATTTAGTATCCTCTTGCTTTTGTTTATTTCATCTTCTCTGTTTTTTTGCAGTCTGAATATCTGAACTTGTGTGAGTTAAATTATCTGTTTTAATCACTTATGTTTAAAACATTCTTTTTGTTTTTAAATAACCACTTTGTTATTGATATATAATAGATGTGAATATTTGACACACATACAATGCGTAATGATCAAATCAAAAATATCCTTGAGAAACTGATACTGTTAATGTGATATAATGTAAAAATTAAAAAATTATCATAAGTTAGAAGACTTGTTGAAGTACCAGTTCTACTGCTTTACTAGGTCACTGTGTGACTTTATGGAAATTATTTAACCTTTCTAAGCCTTAGTTTTGTCATTAACAAAATGAAATCCTTTTCATAGGGTTGTAAAACATTAAGTTACATAATAGATATACAGCATTATATGTATGTTTTGTATATATGCAGTATACAGACATATGTGTCATAAATGAAAGAACATACATTTTTGAAATTAGAAAATGATTATTTGCATTCTTCTTGTTTGGATGTTATATAACAGCATAATCCTCATTTACTGGCAGTAAATGATGAAGGACCCAGAAGATAAATAATAAATCATAATTAATAAGGTACTGGTAGACACAAAAGATACAGCTTAAAGAAAAACTGTGTCCTAAACCAAAAAAAGCAAGTAGTAATGTATGTTTTAATAATGTAATGATGCCTTGTTACCTGAAGAAACTTCTTCACATCATCGATAATTTCTCTGAAGACAAATTGGTCTTTCTGAACCTCAAACCACCCAGACTTAGTGATTTTGGCAATGACTTGGATAAGAGCTTGGATGACAAAGGGAGCAAGCTTGGGTTGTGATGCCACATAATTCAGAATGTAGTTTCCTATAAAGAAAATATTCTGTGATCATTTGAACTTTTCAGAAACATAATGTGAATTATGTGAAGAAAAAGAGGAGGCAAAAACATGCTCTTTGACAAAAAGTTAAACCCCTTTGCTTAAGACATACACTTGTTTATATATTCAGTTCTTTTACAAGGCTGGTTTTGAAAAAGCAGTTTTGTTCCAATGCATTTGATATATTAGGGAATAATCTGAGTATAATAATTTTGTTGAGTATGTCACTTTTGTTTCTGCATGATTCTATCTACAAAAAATGTTAGGTGAATGCAGAAAACTGCAAGTAGGCCAAATGAATCAGACTATACACAAAATGCATATACCTCAAACATCTAATCCGTCAGCCACAGCCATCCTTATCTGGTGTTATAATTTTCCATACTATTTCAGATAACCTTCCTTTCACCACTTCATAGTAATTCACAAGCTGCAATGCTTCTGAAGCCCACTTCAACAAACTTAAGGTCTTTTTCAAGATAAAGTGCCATATTTACTGTACTATGTATGTGTTTCTCAACCATTTAACATGTGCAAAACTCTACTGATCTTTTATTTTTATTAGATTTCTATCTTTTTAGAAATGTGTTTCTGACAAAGTTTTTTTAATTTTATTTCCATAATCTCATTTCCCTCCTAAGCCCTGTGGTTTTTACTATGTAGCATCACACAGGACACTTTTAGGAACACAAATGTTACAACAAAACTGACTGTACACTCTCCTGTTTAAGTGGCATCAAAAACACAAATAGTACAATATGATAAAACAAGTATATTAATTAAAGAAAGTGGGGATAGTAAAGTAAATCTTGGAACAAAGTTAATATATGAAAACTGTAAAAATGGGTAGCAAATTCAGTTATGAGGCCTCCTAGTTGAATGATTGAGGTCAGGTAGCAAATGTACCAAAAAGTCTATCAGAAAAATACAAAAACAATTTTAAAAAGGGAAAGGATTCCATTTCTATTTTGGCTCCAAAGGCCAACATGCTATTTGAAAAAAGAGTAAAGAAAAGGTAAATACCTCAAAAATGAATTAAAAATAGCTTTGATGGAAACAACACCAAAATGCAAGAACACTTGCAACAATTATTCTTGACAATTGCAGTAAGATTCTTGATATTAAAACAAAGTTCTCATAACTATTCTATTTCAACTTTAATTTTTATTAATATCAAAATATATATATAGTTATATAAATAAAAATATATGTTCAAAAAAGCACTGATATCTCTAGCATTAAAACAGAATTGAGAGGTTTTTCCTATGAACTTATTAGCTAGTACCTAGGTTTGGGCAGTCCTTCTCAGACTGCCCAAACAAAGGTACTAGCTAATAAGTTCATTATCTAAGGCAGGAAAAAAAAAAATCACTAGAATATATTTCTGTCATTTTAGCTGAATGTTTTAAATAAAATATCCTGTTATGTTTTCTACATGAACTATAAGATTGTTCCAGTAAGCACCAATGATAACAATCATTTACAAAACAGCAATGTCATCATCACCAGTCCAAGTAACAGGGAAAAGCCATACCAAGAAGAAAAGGAAATGTTCAAAAAGACATATGGGAGAACAACAATAACCACAGCAACAACAAAACAGCCAGAAAAACTCTCAAAGTTAATAGAATGTTAGAAAGCTACACACTAGAGGCTCTTTGAGTGTCGAATGCCTACATGACAATAACAACGTTTAGCATTTATAAAGCATGTTAGAAATTACAAAGTGCTTCCCATCAAATACTTTATATGACTCTTAGAGCAATGTAAAAATATTGCTATCACGCATTACCATTATTCTGTTTTATAGGCCAAAAATATGAAGGTCAAAGAAGCAAAATCATTGGGACTCTGAGCGAGGATGTCTATTTTGATTTTTTGTTTGCTTCCAGATACTTGCCAAACCATATATTTAGTAATAATTAGAAATTCAAAACTCTGTAAGTCCAAACTTACAATCTTTTAGACTTTGCTATCATTACACTGATACTTTAGGAATCAGCACATTATGAGAATTTAATATGAAATACTTAACTGACTACCTGAAGTCAGGTAATAAATATGTCACAAAGTCTATCAGAAAAAAATACAAAAAGAATACAAAAGAAAGGGGAAAGATTCAATATCTACTTTGGTCCCGAAAGCTAGTATGTCATTTGGGAAAAGAGTGAAGAGAAGGTAAATACCTCACTATTCAACTCAAAATGCTTTGATGGAAACAATTCTAAATTCCAAGAACACTTAAAAATATTCCAAGAACACTTAGAAAAAGATAACCTATGTTACAGAGCTAGCTTATGAACTGAGAGAGAGAGAGAGGAAGAGATATATAATACGGGATAAAAAGAAACTACCACAAGAAAATCAAGACAGGACTTATTAGATGGAGAAGTGGAGAAATTGGAACCTTCATCCATTGATGATGAGAATTCAAAATTACATAGCCACTTTGGAAAACAGTCTAGCAGTTTATTAAAAAATTAAGCATAAACTTACATTATGACACAGCATAACTTGGTTTCTACTCAAGAAAAATAAAAACTTATATCCACACAGACTTCAACGTAAATGTTCTCAGTAACATTATTTATAGTGACCAAAAAGTGAAACAACCCAAATGTCCATCAACTAGTGAATGTATAACAAAATGTCATGTATCTACACAAGGTAATATTATTCTACAATAAAAATGAATGAAACATTGATACATGCTACAAAACAGGGATGAACAGGGATGAACTCAGGCAGGAAGGGACTGGGTAACTCTACTGTTTCGTAAGACTGCAGTTAGGCTTATGAGGACTGCTCTTATCTATAAACCAGCTAAATTCCCAGCTTTGCAGAGAAAAGATAAACAACAGCTGCCAATCTTTTGGTTGTACAACAAGAAGGCATGGATGAGAACTCTTTTTCTGGATTGGTTCCAATAATGTTTTGTCCCTGAAGTCAGGAAGTACCCTGCCAGTAAGAGACTGCCTTTTAAAGTTCTTTTGATATTAGACAATGCCCCTGGCCACCCAGAACCCCATGAGCTCAACACTGAGGGTGTCAAAGTGGTCTACAAGCCTCCAAATACTTCTCTAATTCAGCTTCTAGATGAGGGGATTGTAAGGACCTTTAAGACTTATTACGCCTGGTACTCTATAGAAAGGATTGTCAATGCTATGGAAGGGAACTCCTATTAGAGAGACCATTATGAAAATCTAGAAAGATCCCACTATTGAAGATGACATCATTGTTACAGAAAAAGCCATGAAACAATAAATTCCTACTGGAGAAAAATGTGTTCAGATGTTGTGCATGACTTCACAGGATTTATAACAAAGCCAATCAAGGAAATCATGAAAATGATGATGAGTATGGCAAAAAAAAAAGTGGGCAGTGAAGGGTTTCAGGATATGAATCTTGGAGATATTTAAGAGACAGCAGACACCACACCAAAGGAATTAGCAGAAGACAACATGATGGCGATGACTGCTTCCAAACTAGTGCCAGACAATGAGGAAAAATACCTAGAAGAAGCAGTACCAGAAAATAAATTGACATCAGACACTCCAGCAGAATGGTTCAAATTATTCAAGCCTTTGACTCTTCTATGACACAGGCACTGAAACTAAAGCAAACAATATGAGGAAGATTAGTACTATTTAGAAACATTTTTAGAGAAATGAAAAAGCAAAAAAGTCAGACAGAAATTATGATGTATTTCTGTAAAGTTACACCAAGTGTTCCTACCTCCCCTTCTACCTACTCCACCTTCTGTCTCTGTCACTCCCAAGACAGCAAGATCAATCCCTCCTATTCCTCTCCTCCTCAGCCTACTCAACATGAAGATGATGAGGATGAAGATCTCTATCATAATCCACTTCTACTTAAAGAACAGTAACTATATTTCTTCTTCCTTATGATTTTCTTAGTAACATTTTCTTTAGTTTACTTTATTGTAAGAATACAATACACAATACATATAACACACAAAATACGTGTTAATTGACTGTTATGTGACTGGCAAGATCTCCAGTGAATAGTAGGCTATTAGTCTAAGTTTTCAGGGAGTCAAAAGTTATACGAAGATTTTGCACTGCACAGGGAGCTGGTGCCCCTAATGCCTGTGTTGTTAAAGGGTCAACTGTATAGATGTCAAATAAGCATGTGAAAAGATGCTCTACATCATATGTCATCAAGGAAATGCAAATTAAAACAACAATGAGATACCACTACATATGTATCAGCATGAACAAAATCCAGAACACTGACTATACTAAATGCTGGCAAGGATGTGGAGCAAAAGGAACTCTCATTCATTGCTTACAGGAATGTAAAATGGTATAGTAACTTTGAAAGACAGTTTGGCGGTTTCTTACAAAACTAAACATACTCTTACCTTATGATTCAGCAATTGCGCTCCTTGGTATTTATCCAAAGGAGTTAAAATTTTATGTCCACACAAAAACCTGCATATGAATGTTTATAGAAGCTTCATCTATATTTGCCAAAAATTGGAAGAAATCAAGATGTCCCTCAGTAGGTAACAGATAAAATTATGGTACATTCAGATAATGATATATTATTCAGTGCTAAAAATAAATGAGGTATCAGCCAGGTGTGGTGGCTCATGTGTGTAATCCTAGCACTTTGGGAAGCTGAAGCAGGAGGACTGCTTGAGGTCAGGAGTGCAAGACCAGCCTGAGCAAAAGCAAGACCCAGTCTCTACAAAAAATAGAAAAATTAGCCAGGCATGGTGGTGCGTGCCTATAGTCCCAGCTACTCAGGAAGATGAAGCAGGAGAATCACTTGAGCCCAGGAATTTGAGGTTGCATTGAGCTATGATGACACCACTGCAGTCTAGTTCAGGTGACAGAGTGAGACCTTGTCTCAAAAAAAAAAAAAAAAAAGAAAGCCATGAAAAGACATCAATCCATATTGATACTATGCAAGAAGCCAATCTGAAAAGGCTACATACAGTATGATTCCAACCATATGAAAGTCTAGAAAAGCCAAAACTATGGAGACAGTAAAAAGATCAGGGTCAGGGAGAGGGTGGGATGAATAGACAGAGCACAGAGGATTTCTGGGGCAGTGAAACTATTCTGTACCATACTATTAATATAATGGTGAATATGTATCATTATATACTTGTCAAAATCTATAGAATATACTATACCAAGAATGAGCCCTAACGTAAATTAGAGACTTTGGCTAATAAGGACATGTCAATGTAGGTTCATCAATTATAGGTTCATCAATTGTAACAAATGTACCACTCTGGTGCAGGATGTTGATAGTGGGCAAGCAGCGCATGCAAACAGGCAGACAGTATATGGCCATTCTCTGTACTTTCTTCTCAATTTTGCTGTGAACTCAAAACTGCTCTAAAAAATTTAGTTTAAAAAATTCTAAAAATTCTACTTGAAATGTGTGTATAAAAGTAAGTTAAACAGGCCGGGAGCGGTGGCTCACGCCTGTAATCCTAGCTCTCTGGGAGGCCGAGAGTTCGAAACCAGCCTGAGCAAGAGGGAGACCTCGTCTCTACTATAAATACAAAGAAATTAATTGGCCAACTAATATATATAGGAAAAATGAGCCGGGCATGGTGGCGCATGCCTGTAGTCCCAGCTACTCGGGAGGCTGAGGCAGGAGGATCGCTTGAACCCAGGAGTTTGAGGTTGCTGTGAGCTAGGCTGACGCCACGGCACTCTAGCCTGGGCAAACAAGTGAGACTCTGTCTCAAAAAAAAAAAAAAAAAAAAAAAAGTAACTTAAACAAAATCACACTTTTATGACTTAGGTTTATAATATTTAAACCCTTGTTTTTCAAACTGCAAATTTCTTCCTTTGCTTTCTTAAGCATACAAGTCCAAGAGTACCCAGATAAATTCTTCTCTAGGCTTTCTGTAGGGCCTGAGACTCAGGATGCCTAGAGAAATAGTCAAATTTTTTAAAACCAATGACACGTCATTGTGTGATTTTGATCATTTAAATTTGAGCTTAAAGATCCATCACGCATAATATGTTTTAATGTTTCCAATACAGAAATATAAATCATGTTAACCTTGAGGCTGAAGAGCAGAAATGAGTCAACAATTTCTTTTCTTTTCTTTTTTTGAGACAGGGTCTTGCAATCCTCATGCCTCAGCCTCCTGAGTAGCTGGGACTACAGGTGTGCACCACTATGCCCAGCTAATTTCTGTATTTTTTTTTTGTAGAGACAGAGTCTCCCTATGTTCCCCAGGCCGTTTTGAACTTCTGGCCTCAAGCAATCCTACCACTCAGACTCCCAAAGTGATAGGATTTCAGGTGTTAGCCTCCTCACCTAGCTAACAATCCATTTCTAATATGAACAAAGATGACCAAAAAATCCCATACCTCACTGAACTTACTTTGTCCATAGTAAATGAAAGCTATATATACACATAAAAACAACCTTAAGATACATTACTTGTGAAAAATTTATTGCTACTTTCTAGAATTTTTCCAACTAAATTTCTAGCACTTTTTATCCATATACAAATTATCCAACGAATAAGTAGGAATCTGCTTTTGATTTTACATACATTCCTAATGATTTTTATATAGCATCCTGAGAAATATCAGAGAGCTGACTTCTTTCCTGTCATTCAGTTGTACATCAAGTTAAGATACTGGCTAAGAGTATGGACTTGACACTGTGTACAGGTATGACTCACAGTTCTATTGTTTCCTAGCTGTGTGATTATGTGCATGTTACAGAGCCTATCTATCAAATCTACTTTCCACATTTGTAAAATAAGAACTCAAAAATTTATTTGGAGGAAAATGTGAGATAGTGTAAAACTTAGCAAATAGTACACAAATAAATTGCTAATTATTATTTATTATTAAACTAAATAAATGCTTTTTTGATTACAGATTGTTTTGTATAACACATCACTGTTCAACATCAGATGAGTAAGCAAGACTTGATACTCATTTATTTAAAAATGACAGAATCAATAATTTGTAAGCCTAATAACAGTTTAACATATTTAAAAGGAAAAGTTTATTTTTAAAGTGCAATTTGTTAAAAAGCATAATAAACCACTTACTGATATCTATCCTCTGTTCAATGGGTAAAGGACTGACTCGGCTGACAAGTTTTGAAAGACATGTTGCTGCAAGGAGCTGAGCATAGGATGTCTGTAAAGAATAATTAATATTTATTATCATCACAAATGGAATTAGTATAATTAAACATTATGATATAAATTTTTTTTTCTAAGCAATAATGAGAATTCTTCTAGTTTTCCAAACTAGCAGATTTACAATGAATACAACATATGTATTTGAGATACATATATAGATATATTCACAAGCATGTATACACACACATTCACATACAATCCCTTATAAAGGATCATTAGTTGAGAGAGGTGTAAATAGCCATCTCAAACAACAGTAAGCAATTGGGAGAAATAAATGACTGTGAGCAAGTTCAAATAAAATACAGTACTTTAACAACATGGTCTACACAGTCGAACACAATCTAGCCTCTGATTATTTCTTTAAATTCATCTGGCTCCACTCTTGTCTATGCTCAGACCACAGCACTCTTCTAGTTCCTTTCAATGCCTTCCCCACTCTCACCCCCAGGTTCCTTCAGACCCATGTCTGACAGTATTCTCTTTGCCCACCAACTGTCTTAATTTAATAATGTACTCAAACTCTCTAAATGCATGCTCATCCTTCAAAATTTGGTTCAGTTATTCACTCCATCCCCAGGAATTTCTTGCAAAGATAGTCCCTCTCTTTCTTTCTTTCTCCAGACCAGAGGTTGGCAAACAATAGCCCATGGATCAAATTCTGCTTGTTTTTGCATGGCCTGTGAGCCAAGAATAGTTTTTACAATTTTAAATAGCTTTTCAACTATTCAAAAATCAAAGGAATAACAATATTTTGTGACATGTGAAAAATATACAAAATCCAAATTTCGGTGTTCATAAATAAAGTTTATTAAAACACAGCCATGCTTATTCATTTACACATCTATGGCTGCTTGCATGCCATGATGGCCAAATTGAGTAGTTAAGACAGAGACCATATGCAGCACTCATTGCTTCCTACTGCTGCTCAGTGTACATAAATTGCAGTGATAGAGTTACACAATGCCTAGAGTGTCATGGGTAACACCATGACATGATATGTACCTTTTATTACTACCAATACATACCCATCATGTCAAAACAAGAAAAGATAAAAGTGTACTTCAAATGTCTAACTTTTAAGATACAGTGGAGTGTGGATTGTATGCTATTGAATTATATGGCAAAGCAATGTGCTTGTTATGCAATGGCACTGTAGCTATTCTAAAATAATACAATATATGTTGACAATATCAAACTAAGCACTCATCATAATATTCCCAACTCAAAGGAAATCAACTGTCAGAAAAAGTAGAAAATTTAAAACAGTATCTCATCACAGGTTAATGTCTTTATAAAAATAAAAAATAAAATGAAGTTGCAATGTTAAGTTTCCAAGCAGCTTATCAGCCAATGAAGAAAAACCACTTACCAATATTGAATTAATTAAAACACCATTGTTTTACTGCAGTAGCCAAAGTTATGTGTGCAGAGAAAATAAACTTAAGACTACTAGTCTTTTGGTGAGAACAAATGCTTAAAGAGTTGGGGACACTGGAGCAACATCAAAAGTCAACTTAAAAACAAGATAAATGATTTGGAAAAGTTCTCCTTAGCTCTTAATGAGGAGACAGATGTTACTAATACAGCTCATATTGTTAATGTTACCAATACTTATTCCAGAAGTCAATATTGAGTGTGAAGTGACTGAAGAATTAGCCTCTATGAAGAGTCTGTGTGAAACTACAGGCTAGAATAATTTCAAAGAAACAGTAATTCAATATAATCTGAAGAAGAATCTGCTAAGATGTGTCACATCAGTGGTAAAATATATACAGAGCAGAAAAGGGCTTAGTTGAACAAATTTACAAAGCCTATAAAAAATGTGTAAGATGTTTAAAGCCTATGGTTACTCACTGTATTTTTCATCAGCAGATACTGTAAAGTAAATATCTGAATCTATCATAAGTTAATGAGTAGTGTTAACAGTAGACTTTATTCACTCTTGTAAATTTATCTTCAGTCCTATGAATTTCTGTCAGATATAGATGCTGAATATCCTAACTTGCCCCATCATACAGCAGTTTAATAGCTTACTAGTGGTAAAGTTTTACTGCAATTTTTTTAGCTCAGGGCTGAGATTTAAATTTTTCTGAATCAGAAGACCAAGCCTCTCCTGTTAAAAACTAAATGGCTTTGGAAATTACTTTTTACAACAAACTTGTTAATGTCTCTTAATGAATTCAACCTAAAATTACAAAGTTGTCTAAAAGGTAAACAGTGCTTAGTACTCATATACAGAACTTACAATGCAGTAAAGCCATTTTGATAATAACTAATACTGTTTGAATCACAAGTAATGTCAAGCTGCTTTATACACTTCCTGCATTGTCAAAAGTGAAAACAAGTAGTGAGATCTCTATTCACAGGTGTATTTTCTGAGCTCCAATTACAGTTTCAGATTCAGACCTTGATGCAAGTCTAAAGGCAATTTCCATATTTTAAAATCCATTTAACTGTGCAACTGAGGAGCTTCCACCTTATCTTCAATTGGAAGTGATTAATCTGCAATGTAATGACACGCTAAAAGGCAAACATCAAGAGAAGATTTAATAGAATTCTATAAATGGTAAGTAATGAATACACTTAATTAAAATCTTATGCTCATGGATTGATATTAGTATTTGGCAGTACCTATTTATGTGAAATGATATTTTCAAAGATGAAATATGTAAAATCTCAGTACAGATCAGCATTAACATATGAATGTTTGAAATCAATGTTAATGATAAGAAACACCAACTTTGAACTCCAACTAACTCACCTCTTGGCCCACAAAGCCTAAAATATTTACTATCTGACCCTTTACAGAAGAAGCTAGCCAATTCTGCTCTAGATCATATAGTCCCTTACTAGAGTCCTTACCATATCATTTTATAGCTATTTACTTATCTATGAGCTTCCAACTAAACAAAGAGCTACTTAAATCCATGTACATAAAACAAGTAGGCAGTGCAGTGTCTGGTTTTACATTTAAGTACTTTGCTAAATGATTGCTGAATGAATGGCTGTCAATATCTAGAAGGGAGGCAGTCAAGAGATAGTCAACATTTTTCTAAATCATCCTTTCAAGTTTCAGAGGTAATCACAACTTGCCTCCCCTACCTAGATTTTAAAAAAAAAGTTGTCAGTCAACTTTCTAAAAGTGTAATTCTTGCCCACTAATATGAGACATAAAAAGGGGTCAAAAATAATTGAGAAACTATTTCAATTCATTCCTGTTTCTACCTCCTAGATCTTCCCTAAGTTTGCTTTCCAGGCTTTCCAATCCTTTCTCTGATGAACCCCTTTGACAGTGAAATAAACTATAGTAAAAAGACATGTGGCAATATCTATCAGTTAACACACAAGTTCAGCAACACTAACATATATCTACTGATCTTTCATGATTAATCACTATTACCATATACTTACTGTTCCTTGTTCTAATAAAAGTTGACACTTGCTGAGACATTCTGGGCTGTCAATAAGTTCCAAGAGTGCTTTCTCAGCCTCTATTCTTTGTGTAAGATCAGTCCCTATGTAGAGATGAGTACATAACACTTCCAATTCGGCCAAACTCTTGAGAAGAAAAAAAATTAACATTTTACTTGAATGAAAAAAATAAGGTAAATATATTAACCACAAGAAACAAGGGATGCAAACATCATGCATGCCTGCATTCATTAATTCAATATAGGTTTATTGAAGTACAACTACTTACTAGAAGATACAGTGGCAAACAAAACAGGCACATCTCTACTCCCAAAATTATTTACTTATAAAATGATAGCTCTGCAATAGAAAATTAAGAGTTTAAAAAAGAGAAAACTTGCCTAATGCAAGGAGTTAGAAAAGATATGCCTGAAGAAATAACATTTATGCTGAGACCTAAAAGGGTAAACCAGATGGGGGGGGGGGGGAGACTAGAAGGCAGTCCAGGCAAAGAAATAGCATTTACCAGAGCCATGCAGTAGAATGGAGTTTAGTCATTTCAAGGCATTAAAAGGTCAGAGTGGCTGGTAAAGAAAGCAAGGAGGAAATGCCACATGAAACTAAAGAGATGGATGAGGAGAATGATCATACACAAGTTGCAGGCAACACAATTAACATTCTTTCTTGAATTGTAAGAATTTCAATTGTTCTATTAAAAAATAATTATAAATATACACTGATCTGGGGCTTCTGAACTAATGACACATAGTGCTGTAGGTAAACTATATCATGATTTTCAGGAACTGTGACTGGACCCCATGGTATTTCTGGCAATGTAATAACTAGTTATGTTGTAGGCTTCTATTTTATAAGCAAAAAGACTAATTCATTCTGTTTATAAATATAATCTCATCTGACAATATAGGACAAATGGAACCAATCTGAAAAAAGAATGAAAAAATGGTTTTAGCATTCCTCTCAGCTTTAAAGAATTTTTGTAAGAGGCATCTTACTAAAATAAACTAACCTCACTTTGAACTTGTACTAGAGAATTACTCTTTGCTGGACAAAAACACTGGCACAGATTTCAATGTCAGGTGAGCAGATGAAGATAATGGGATATTCCTTTTCAAATGCCATTTTTCTGTCCTTCCTGGCCTGAATTTTTATGTGACAACCTTGCAGCTATACTAGCCCACATATTCCCTCAAATGCATATACCTCCTAATAGGAATACACAAATAATACTGAAATGAGACCTCCTCTAGCTCCCATTATTCTTTTCACTTCTCCCTTCTTCTTAGCTCTTTTCTAGTATTTTCCACTTCCCTGTTTAGGTCAGAGCCCAGTGTACTAGATTTGGGAATTGTCTGCTAGAGTGAAAATAGAAGTTTAAAAGTAAGATTTCATAAAGATTAAGATTAAGGACTTCAAATGAATCATATTTTAAACATTTCCCCCACCTAGATTGACCCAATAAGATCAGATTACTACTACATACTGTTCACAATATTAAAATGCAGAGAAAATTTATAGTTCATTAATACATACAAATTTTCATACTTTCTCCAGGTAGGAAATACAAAAATGAAAAGAGCTACCTTTTTCCCTCTCATGATCAACCCTATAAGTCTTTTCTCTTATCTAATAAACTTGAAGGACTGAATTTTAGAACCAGTATAACTTAATGATAAACTGATCCTGTTGTCATATATTTATCTAGACCTAAGATTCTTTGTTTGTTCTTAGACTTTGTTTTGTTGTTGTTGTTTTGTAAGAAGTAGACTTTGACTACAAAAAGATCTAGGGCAAAAATAGTGACAAGACCTGTTTAACCAAACGAAAGGCAACAAAAATGAGAATAATAATAATAGTGCCTATCTCATAGGTTTGCTTGGAGGATTAAATGAGTTAGTAACATGTAACTTCTGGCATACAATATATACTATAAAAACTATTTGTTTATTATTCATATTACCCTAATAATATTTAATGGGTTGAACTATATCCCCTTAAGAGATATGTCCAAGTCCTGACCCCCAATACCTATGAAATGTGACCTGACTTGGAGAGAGGGTCTTTACAAATCCTTAATTAAGTTAAAGATCTCAGGATGAAATAATCCTGGATTTAAAGTGGGTCCTAAATCCAATGAGTGGTATCCTTATTAAAAAAAAAAGGAAAAAGATCTGAAATGCAAAGACATACAGAGACACAGAAGAGAAAGCCATATGAAGATGGAGGGAGAGATTGGAGTGATATATCCACAAGCCAAGGAACAGCAAGAATTGCCAGAATAGCCATCAGAAGCTAGAAGAAAGGCACGGAACAGTTTATCCTTTGAGACTTCCAGAAGGAATCATGGCTTCAGACACTGGCCTCTAAAACTGTGGGAGAATATATCTGTGTTGTTTTAAGCCAGGAGCAGTGGAGCACACCTGTAGTCTCAGCTACTTGGGAGGGTGAAGCAAGAGGATTGCCTCAGCCCAGGAGTTCTAGGCCAGCCTGGGCAACATAGGGAGACCCTGTCTCTTAAAAAAAAAAAAAAAGAAAGAAAGTGTTGTTTTAAGCCACCCAGTCTGTAGTAATTTGTTACAACAGCCTAGAAAACTAATATAAATATTAATTCAATGGTACCTAAGTAAATCTATTTGGAAAGATTATGGAAAAATTTGGAAATTATCTGTTTTGCTCTACTGATTTAAAGAACCTCAAGGAAAAAACAATTGGTGTGTCTTTAAATAGTATTTAAGTCAACAATGTTACTAATCAGTTTTTCCAAGGATATTTCCAATTATTAATAAATGAAAGGCTGTACAAGACAAAAGGGAAAGGTTTGAACCTTCTCTTACAAAAGATTCAAAGGGGAAAATCAAGTTATTCTTTCACTGTAATGGTAACAATTAAAAATATGCCTGGTATACTAAGCCTTTTTAGAGAAAAGGATACATACACACAGACCCTTAGCCTGATGGAAAAGCATTATCTAGACATTTAAAATAATTAAACTCATAATGTGGTGACTGCTAACCAAACAATTTCCTGATTAGCATTTGGGTTTCCAGAGAATCTGTGTATGTAAGGAGACTACATTTCTCATAGTACACTGATAAATTTTCATCTTAGTTTTATACATTGATGTCTGAGAATGTGGTTAATATGAAAATGCCTCAGAGGAAATGAATCCTTTTTCAATTTGTTGACAAAGTTTGAGTTATTAAAGCATCTATAAGACTTAATATCAACATTAGAAGCCCATGTAATTAACTAATAGGTATAACAAGGAGAACTGGACATCACGTACCTCCCACAGAGCAACTATCAACTATAAACAGCACAAAACTTCCATACCCTAGAAGACAATGATGTAATCCTGACTACAGTCTACATAAGGATCTTCCCAAATTATTCTGGACTGGCTTCTGGCCTTTGTACTTGACATATAATGGGCCCTCAAATGATAACTTCTTTCTATATAGCAATTCTCATACATATATCTATTAATATTATATTAACATGTGAATGCTGAGTAAAAGCAGCCAGACAAAAAGAGTAGATATTATATAATTCTTAAGTAACAGAAAGCAAATCAGTGGTTCCTGGCTGGGGAGGCAGGGGAGCAGAACAGCAGGGAAGGAGAGAGGCAGCAAGGAAGGATTATAAAGAGAGACAAGGAAACATTTGGGGGTGATGGATATGTTCATTTTCTTGATTCTGGTGACAGTTTCACAAATGTGTATACATTTGTCAAAACTCACTCAATTGCCACAGTTTCAATAAATGCATTTTATAATTGTTAGTTATATTTCAATAATGCTAGAAAAAAATAGAAAAAAGGCTTTTGCTCTAAGAAAAAAATGTTTGCTAATAAATAAATAGCTGAACCACAAAAATCCCACTTCAATTGAATTTAAGATTCTTTTTAATTATTTTCTTGCATTTTCTCTGCTTTCTAGAATTAAGCTTCTTGATTGCCATTAATACAAACTGTCTTCATTTTGCAGTTACTCATTTCCCACAAACTCTTTCTTCTTCCCCTTACTACCTTTTCCTGAGTACCCCTTAAAGGCTTTATTCCTGGGCCTCTTGGAATGCTTCCTTCTTACAATGAACTGGATAATGCTTGTTTTAGTGCTTTACAGTTTAAAAAGTATTGCCATACACTTCAAATCAATCCTGAAAAACAGGCTCCTGCAAGGTACATATTCTCAGTGTACTCATTTTACAGATGAAAAACTGAAGCTGAGAGATCAAATATACCTAAGTTGCTCAAGATCAAACATAGAGTAATAATCAATTTGGAGTCAAATACAACTTTATATACCCAAGTAGATTTTGTCTCCTAACAACCTACCATCTTGCCACCCTTTATTTCAGCCATCATCTATCTGCAGATGATGTCTCAGTCCATACTTTTAACTCTATTTGTTGACCATATTTGTCTACAAATTTCTTCCTCTTAGAAATCTAGAAAGATGCTAAAAATAACCAGGAAGTGTCAGAAACTGAATTGAACATGTTTCACACAGATTTCTACTCAAGTGTCCCTTTGTTGTATGTGGTTTTAGAGGTCTAGATCACGATCTAGATTTACAAGATTGGTGTTATCTTTTACTTTTCTTTCTCCTCAGTTCTTTCAGTATAGTAAAGAATTTGGCTTTGCCCTAAAAAAAGTCTGGCCTTTGCCCTATAGCTTCTGGGAGATATTCTATGTTATACCCAATAGGAGTGTATAGATAGAGATTGTGTAGGATAGAGGCTGGCCGTACCCAATAGTTGTAGGTTGGGCTGTCCATACCAAAGAGACCAACTATGTGTTTCAGGGTAGGACTCTGGGTCACAAGGTATTGGCTGACCTTGAAACTGAGTTGAAACACATGGGCAATCAATCAATCATGGCCTAAATAATGAAGCCCCACTAAAAACCCAGGACACTGAAGCTTGAGTGAGCTTCACTAGCTTGGAATCAGTGCATACAATGACACAGGGAGAGTAGTATATCCTGAGGACAACAGCAGCTTAGAACCTTCACAGATTCTGCCCTGTGTGTCTCCTTCTTTTGATCAATTTTAATCTCTATCCTTTCCCTGTAATCAACTGTTGAGTACAACAGCTTCCAGTGAATTCTGTGAGTCCTTCTAATAAACTATAGAACCTGAAGAAGGTTTTGGAAATCCCCAAGTTTGCAATTGGTGTCAGAAGGGCAGTCTTGTGGACTCTGCCCTCAAATCTCACATTCTGACTAATTCCAAGTACATAACCTAATTTGTCATAAAGGCCTACCAATACTTTTTCTATAAAGACTCAGACTCAACACCTCCACATGATATTCACAGACAGAACAATCAAACAATATTTTTTAATTGTGACCACCAGTACCATGGATTTCTTCAGGGGCTGCGTTGGGCATGAAAGTAGAGAGTAGTGGGGGTCTTAGAAACATCATGGTTCAATTTGAAAACCATTGGTCCAATGGAGTAGACACAAACTTTTGAATCTGCCACTCAAGTATTAAGTGACCTCAGGCAAATTATTTAACCTTTCTAAGCCTCAGTGTTAAAAACTACAGACAGCAATATCCACCTTCCCAAATAATTGTGAGGATTAAGATAGAAAAGATAGGGGAAAGCCTAATCCAGTGCCTGCCAAACAGCAGATCCACAGTAAATTATAAATAACTAATCTCTTCAGTTACTGACAGTTATAAAAGACCACAATGATCTTCTATAGTTTCTCCCCTTCAAGTCCATACTGCCAGAATGATCTTCCCAAATCCCTTTTTTCATGTTATCATTGTGTTCAAAAATAATTCTCAATCACATCTAGATCAAATCAGGTAGCCTGGCTGGGGATTAAGAAGCATGGCTATAGCTCCTGCTTTTGAAACAAAAAAGCTGGACCAACTGGGTCCCCTAAATTTTTCCTAACAGTATCTCTTGAGTCTCATCAAAGTGCCTCTGTCCTATCTAAAGTACCTACATCTATCTTACTTGTTCCCAATTCGCTCTTTCCTCACTCTGCCTATCTGGACTGCCTCCTCTCAGGTAAACCAGTTACCTTACTTCTTTGGGGACAGGGTACCCTAACCCACAGCTTTCTAACTAGAATGCATGTGCCTTGAATGGATCCTACGTATGCCTGATATATCGATCCCTCTGCCCTCCAGGCAGCCAGGGCAGGGCTTGAAACAGTGGGGAAAGGCAACACTAATGGCCTTTAGCTGAGAGCAGTTTATGTAATGAGCCATACAATTACCGTTTTTTATGTATGACATGATGTGAAAAAGATGTTGAGCAGTACCCTAATCTCACCCCACACAAATCTGCTTCTTTACTCATTATCTTGATGGCATAATTTTTGACTAGCTGCTCTGTTGGGTAGGTGACAGTAAGGATAGGTAGTGGAAAGAATATGGAACTTATGAATTATCAGGCCTATCTAACCCTGTAACCTTGAGTAAGTCACAATTGTTCTAAAACTCAGTGTCTTCAGAAATAAAATATATATTTGCCAACCTCTCACATTAGGGGAGGGATTAGACTGTACAATGCGCATATGAAAACACAAAATGCTAGGTACTGGTTATCACTATTAACAAATGTTCCCTGAGCTAACTGGCTAATAATATGATCTCATATGCTAAAAAGAATTCAAAATGAAAAGTTACAGTTTTTTTCTGGTCACCAAAACTGATCTTTTATTTGTCCAAGTCCACTTTTAAGCTATCTACAGCTACTGTGAAGTACGTTCCTGGGAAACCAATAAGGGTAGTTTTGACATCAGCTGCTAATTTTTCCAACATTGTACCTAAACATGAAGAAGTCTTCCAGGACTTAGTGATTTATTATGCATCACCTTTCCAAGTCTAAAAAGGTTCCAAAGTTCCTCCATACGTTTTAATTTACTCTCAAGATTAACACCTGCACTATGAACATATGATTACCAATTTATAATCCATAAATCCTCCCTGTAAGATTCTTCCTGTGGAAATTTCCCAGAGGGTATATTTACTAAAGTGATAATACATTATTTTGACCTGGGGGCCCTTAGAAATGGCAAGGAGTCAAAAGGTAATGTGTGGGGCTCACTATCTCCTAGTCTATAACATCCTGGAGCTGTCAATGACCTGACAGAGAATGGCTGATTAGAAAGAAAAGACCCTTTAGAAGAATCAATAAATAAGAAAGTAAAAAGTCAGTATGACCACAGGATGTCCAAAGAAGTCTACAAGGGGAATGTAATACTTAGATACACTATCACCACATTATGAAATTGTCTACCAAAATCATCTCTTGCCATCCAGACTCTTCTGGTCCCTTCTATTTGATATGAGCCCTATGCTCCAATCAGACTGAACTTTCTGCAGTATGTCAAGTTCTTCCACAATTCTTTGCCTTTGCTCACAGTGTCCTCATTCTGCCTCTATACCCTTTCCTTCCTCTTCACCAAGGAGTTTTGCTCAGAGCTGTATCTTCAGTGCCTAGTACAGTAGGTACTCAATAACTAATTAATAAGTCCAACAAGAGAAGTTCAAAGAAATTCAAAGCATCTCCTATCTGAGAGCATAGCAGCTTCACTTCCCTCCCTCCCAACACACACCCAGGGTTGGCCGCCCTCTTCTCTGTGTTCCCGTGATATTCTGTCACTGATTCTACCATACATTTTTCACTTGTACCGTAATTATCTGTGAGGATAGATAGTAAGATGATGTCAGCCTTTATCCCTCAGAACTTTGCACAGTACTTGAGACTCATCAGGAAGACTCACTAAATGTCTGCTGAAATGAATGCGTGAGAACAAGCGGAGGACACACGAGCTCGCGTCCCATCTTTATTGCCTCAGCGATCCCTGTGCGCGCGCCCGGCCCCAGTTTCCCTTGCAATGAGGCTGCCGCGGAGCCTCCTCCGCAACTCCCCACAGATACGACCCCGTCCCTGCCTCCTCCGGCCAGTTCAAGCCCAGCTGCTGCCGCCGCTCCTTCGGCAGACCCCAAGCCGCCTCCCCCTCTCCGACTCAACCGTGTGGAGGGAGGCTGACGACAGAGCCGCGACCGGAGACGCAGCGGGAAGGCGCGAAGGCTGCTCCCGGACTCCGCAGCCGCCCGAGGCGCGCCCAAACCCGCCGGGCTCGGACCCCACCTGCCCCGGCGCCTCCAGAGCGCGCGGTCCGCGCCCGTGCCGCCGCGCCGGGAGGGCAGCCCCAGCCCGGCTGGTCCCCGGCACACGCACGCCCGGGAGCCGAGCGCGGAGCCCGGCCCCCGCCCCGCTCCACCCACCGCTCCACCGCCCCTTCCTCGGGCGCGGGCGCGGGCCTGGGGTGTGCAGCCCGGACCAGCGCCCCGGGCCCCCGGCTGCGGGCGGAGGCCGGGATGGGGCTCCGCGGGCGCCGACCACGGCCTTGCGGCCTCCGCCGCTGTTCCTCAGCCCTCAGTCTCCAGACCCCAGCGTCCCGCCGAGTTCCCGGAGCGGCGGGGCGCGACCCGCGGCGCAGAGCGCACTGACCTGGAAGTGCAGCGCCATCTTCCCGGGAGGCGGCGCCGGCCGGCCGGCCCAGAGGGCCCGAGGGGAGGGAGCGGAGGCGGGCACCGCGGAGGCCCCAGCAGCCCGCCGGGTCCCTGCGCCGCGCGCTCGCTCGCGCCGGGTCGCCTCAGCCGCGCGCGGCGTCCGCGTTCGAAACGCCGGCCGGGCGGGGCTGGCGGGGACGGGGCGGGGCTACGGAGGCGGGGCGCGCGGGGAGGGCCCGAGAGGGGCGTGTCCTCCGGGGGCCCCAGTGTCTCAACCGCCCCTTGCGCGCAAGTTTTAACTGCTGTTGTATTGGTGGGTCGTGACCTCCCGACCTCTGTCCTTTGACACAACTACCACAACGCAACTGTCAGCCATGGCCCCTGACTCTTAAATCCCCCACAGGTTCTCTTGACCCCTGACCCTCACGACACAACTTTCCCCCATGGCTCCCCACCTGCATCTCCACAGATTTTCTTGTCCCCTAATATTTACTTGCCACTGACACAGCCATAACCTTTGACCCACACATGCCAACTGCTGCCCTTGACTCCTGATTCCCAGGGCACAACTTCCATTGTTTCTTTAAAATATTTTAACTTTGTTTTGGTTAAAATTAGACTATGCCCACATGGTGTTATGTTGTGTAATTCTAGCTTTACCTCTTACTCTTTGTCTGCATTTCATTTAATATAAACTTATACTTTACACTAGATGATTCCATTGGTATGAGAATTTATTGGAGTATAAGTGGGTCAAATCTCTCCTTTCTGGTGTTCATTTCTTCTTCAAGTTCAATACTTCCATTTGGGGGTGTTGAACTTTAGTATTTAAGGTAAAAACTCTTAAATATTTCTTATGGCTCAGGTCTGATAACCACAAATTCTCTCATCTTTTGTTAACATGAAATTGTCTTTACTTCATTTTTTTAAAGGATAATTTTGCTGGGTATAAAATTCCACATTGGCCTTTTTTTTTATCTTTCTGAATTGTAAAGATGTCATTTCATTGTTTTCTGGTTGCCATTGTTTCTGTTGAGAAGTCAGACATCAGTCTAATTGTTGCTCATTGGAAGATATTATGTCTTATCCCCCAGCCCCAAGCTACAATTTTCTTTCTTTGGTCTTCAGCAATTTGAGTTTGATGTCACTAAGTCTCTGTGTTGTGTATATGTATGTATTTATCCTACTTGTAATTCATAAAGCTTCTTAAATGTGTATCTGATCTTTTTCATCAGTTTTTGAAAAATCTTGGGAAGTATTTCTTTAAATATTGCATCTGTCCTCTCCTCTCTTTATCTCTCTTTTCATTCCAGAACTCCAGTTACCTGTATGATAGAACTTTTGCTATATTCCTTATTTCTCTTACATTCTTTTCTTCTTTTTTTCCTTTTTTTCTTTTGTGCTTTAATCTGGATATTTTCTGCTGACTTGTCACCCATTCCATACAAATTCTGTTTCTCTTTGTCTGAGCTGCTATACAACCCCTCTATTGAATTCTTAATTTTAGTTATAATATTTTCAGTTCCAGAATTTTCATTTGGAAACTTGAAATTTCTATTTTTCCTCCTCTCAGTTTTAAAATAGATTCCAAGGCTCTTCTGAAATTCCTTATCTTTCTTCTATTTTCTTGAACATCGTAATTATGTTATGTAAAGCCCTTATATGATAACTCCAGTATCTGACTCCTCCTGGTTTTTGGTATTTGGCTTTAATTTTTTGTTTGTTTTTTTGTGTGTGGTTTGTTTTTTATGGAGTTGTTTGTTTGGAGGTTTTTTGTTGTTTTTTTAATTAGCACCCCTCATAATTTCTTGGTGAATTCAGACGGTATAGAAGAAAATTTGTAGAAGCTCTGGATAATATCAGCTTTCTCCAAAGAGGATTAAGTTTTCTTAGTGTAGTAGGTAGATACAGTAGCAGTGGATCATTGAGGCTTGATTTTAAGCTTTTTAATGGTGGTTAATTTCAGTTTTGACCTTACTCCTGGGTCATGGTCCTTACTAGATCTTACAACTAAAATCTGGGATGTTTACCAAGATCCTTCCACCTTGTGGGGCTTGAACCCTAATCTCTGTCTCCCCAGCATTGCATAGCTGCTAAAGTCTCTGCTTAGTTCTTCAGGTGCTGTTGTTCTGCTGGATTTCTTGTATTCTCTTCCTGTACATGTACATCTTAGGAATTAACTGATGATTTGCAGGGATTTGAATGCAGATTTTGGGGCTCACACCTGTGCAGTTTCCTCTTCTCTGGAATTTTGTCCCCCAAATCCCAGCTGCTCTTGTTCCCAAACACCCACCTTTGCTCCTAGCCTATTAATATTGCTGCTCTCTATTTAGCTGTTACTCTTTGATACCACTTGGAAAATGTTCTGGAGGGAGGGGGAAACTGAGGTGAATTTGGATCTTTCCTCTTGTGCTTTTTTTCATTGAAAGTTTGTGGCAAATTAAGTCTTGCCTTCTCTAGTGCCTTCAGTTGTTAAATATATATACTTATTTGTCTGGTGTGAGGGGGTGTGTATGCATGTGTGTGTATATATATGTGGGTGTGTGTGTACATAATTGTTAAATATTTACTTATAGTTGTTATTTATATTTACTATATGTAATAGAATTGTTAAATATATATTTTGAGGTGCTAAATATATATATTGAGGTGATAGAAATGTTACTTTAAAACAATAGCTTTAAAAGGTGGTTGGGATTTCGAAGTTAGGCAAAGGCAACAGGCAGTTAATATAATGGGGTATTGTGCAGCAGATGGGATAGGACAGAAATCATAATTGGAGTTTGGGAAATGGAAGTCAGAAATGTTGGGATGTGGGAATCACAGTTGAGATTGTGTATGATATCCATACACATTTGTCCTGTTTTTACAATTGGACAGTGGGAGGTCTAACCAAAATAAGATATGCTATTATTATAAGACTGTGTAACTTCCATTCTTGACCCTAAATCTTCACCGCTTATCCACAGCCCATGAATCCTCATCCCCACAACTCAACTCCTGAACCTAAAATTTTCGATACCCTCATCCTGTCATTTTCACTCCTATATCCCAAAATTCCTGATTCCTGTATTCTAACTTCCATTTCCATATCTTAAGACTTTCAATATCCAATCTCAACTGTGATTCCCACATCCCAACATTTCTGACTTCCATTTCCCAAACTCCAATTATGATTTCTGTCCTATCACATCTGCTGCACAATACCCCATTATATTAACTGCCTGTTGCCTTTGCCTAACTTCGAAATCCCAACCACCTTTTAAAGCTATTGTTTTAAAGTAACATTTCTATCACCTCAAATTTTAGGTCCTTAGAGCAGAAGCATTATTTGAGTTTTAGTCATTTAACTTTTTCCCACTCCAGAATATCCTTGGCACAAATGTAGGATTGTGATAGGAACGATAGAGGATGCTGCCTATTCTGTGGATTCACCAGGTAATTCTAGAAGTGAGAAGCCAATTGTTTTTCTCCACAAAATTTGAGTGACTGCTTAAGATTTCTGTTTTCAATTAACCTTCCCTTCAGTGGTTGTCTATCAACAAAATATGCATACAACTCCATATCTTTTATGTCAGTTAATAAAATTTAAGATAGAATTATATCACTATAGCTATTAAAATTAGCACAGAAGATGCTCCAGGACATCAAATAATTCATTTGTATCACAAAACTCAATTAAAGAAGGACATTTAGACCCCTTAGGAATTACAAAATTATCTTCGTTTATGGCAACTAGCCTTCTAAAAAAGACAGATGGATTTTTGATCTTTGTACTTTTTCAGAGGATTCAATTAACATTTGTAATTCTGGTACCTTGGGAAACATCTCTGAGTTTTGATTTGTTATTTCTAAGACAGTGATGACAGTAAGTCTATAATTCAAACAATTTTATACACAATAACATGAGGTGAGGCAGCAGAGCACAGTGGTTAGAAAAACAGACTGTGGAGCCAAACAATGTGGATTGGGATGTCAGCTGCATCACTTACTAGCTGGTAAACTTGGTACAGTCATTTCACCTTTCTATGCCTTCATTTCCTCATCTATAAAATGGAGATATAGTAATACCTATCTCATAGGTTGCTGTGATGAAATGAATTAATATATGTGAAGTGTTTAAAAGATATATGGCAAATAATAAATGCTACATAAATAGTAATTATTATCAATTAAGTTTGTATTATTCTCTGAATGTAATGTTTAACATTGTATTTTTAATAGAATATGATTATAATTTTAATGAAACCTACTAAATTATTCCAGCCTTCTTTAGTTTGTAAAGTTACCAGCAAGTTGGATATTTTGTTTCCCCATTCCCCGCATCACCCAGCTTCTGTAGACTGGACAATTTTGAAAGATTGTGACATTACTCACATTAATGGCCTTTCTATTTCATATTCTTATAATTTGTGAGACTGAAACTTCAAAATATCTGACTAAAATTCTCTATCAATACTTAAAATGTAAAACCTATGATCAATCATTTACTTTAGTAACACATTTAAACAAAATACAGGACATGTTAGTGCCCAATTCCCTTAACTTATTCTACAAATGCAATTATATTAAGTACGTTTAGTAAGATTGCTTAATACCTCAGTGTGTTTGGGGAATCGAGCCAAGGGCAGACAGGTAAGAGAAATAGGAGGAGAATGCATCCACAATATTCAAATTTACATACCCCCCCAATACAACAGTTGCATAAAAAATTCACCTCTTTTTCTTTCATGCTGGTTGATTTCAACAATATTTTTTGTTTTGTCAAGTCATTGACCTTAAACATCATTTATTAAATGTCTACTGCAAAACCAGAGTATAATAACAACAAAATTCTTCTTGTTGTTAATATAGAGATGAGTTATTTCACAATCTTGATTATTACATATATACTGAAAACTATACATGTTATTCTTCAGTTGGTTTTATATTTTTAACATACTGGCAATAGTAAAGGTATACTGCTATGTATTAATTATTCAAGTATTTTGACAAATAAAAAATAATATTTATCATTCTGTATGTTGCCTTATATTATTTGCATATTAATGCTTCCACATAATAATAAATAGTTTTAGGTATTGATTATGTAAGCAAGATCATAGTGTTATATTAGTATGTATCCTTAAAGTTACTGCTAAGCAGGAATATAATAAAATATCACCTAACATG